CAACCTTAATAAAATATTAATTTGGATAATTTTTTAAAAAAAAAATTGTACGGATTGTACGGATTGTTTTTCGAAAATTGTACGGATTGTACGGATTTCTTCTGAAAATGTACGGATTTTTGTACGGATGGGTTCAAAAAAGTTTTGGCCACCCTGAGCCTACCAATCACAAGCAACAGTTGGATCATTTTCATCATTATTATCATTTCATTTAAGTTTGGCAAACAAAATTATGCATAATCTTGCAATCAACCACTTGTCCCTTTGTTATTTTTCCGGAATGGTCATTGGTCAATTAAATTTTTATCCAATTAAATATTCGCTGAGTTATCCAACGATCAATGCAATTCTATATGTGGCGAACCTTGACTTTTAATTTACAAACTGTCCTTTATTAACCTTTTTGAATCATTGCTAACCTTATGTAAATCAATTTTAGCCGATTTTAGCTAACTTTTCCCATTCTAGTTTAATAAGATATATAAGATGATGTGCTCACTACCAACCCCTTCTCTGGCCTTTAATTTGATATTTTATAAGTTTAAGATTGAATATTTGTTTAGGAGAGAATCTAACAGATGAAGAACTGCAGGTAAATAATATAGATTTTTTCTAATTTGCATTAAAAAAGTTTTTCATTTTAATCTCAGTTGTTTGATGTAATTAATGATTTTTTATTAAAATATTTTAAAAAAAACTTCAACAATATCAGCATTTAGCAACCATTATCCTAGTTTATGATCCAGTGTGAGTTTCTACAGCGTAATCGAGCAAGAAAATTGCTACGATTTGTTTTATTCAAGACTTAAAGACTGTCGTAGATATTGTATGTCAGTTCAATTTAAAGGGGTTTAAGGGTTCTTGATTAAACGTTTACGTTAACAATTCCTTTAAAAAAGTAAAAATTCAAATGTTCCTAGGAAATGATAGAAGAAGGAGATAGAGACGGAGACGGTGAAGTGAATGAAGACGATTTCCTGAGAATCATGAAGAAAACCGGTTTATACTAGACTAGTGTCGGCCATTTTATATTCGATGTATTCTAAAATTTTGAATATTGTAGACTATCATTTCCTGAACTAAAGTTCTACTATCACTTTAAAAATCAAAGCCAAAGAAAACGATGCCATTTAAGACTTAAAATAAGAAAGAATAGTGCTGAAAATGCTATGGACATTTTTTACTTTTGTTATTTAATTTTTGTATTTTTACTTTGTGATACTTGGTTTAGTCAAATAGTGTTTATGAATAAAAAAAAAAATGTTTTTAATGTGAACTATTTCTTATGTTCAAAGCGTAGTGTGAATTGTGAATTAATGGAAGTATTTATTGAAAAATTGTTGATATTAACCCGAGTTTCAAATTTCTTTTCAGATGAATAGATAAAATGATACCATAAGTGAGGTTTGATGGAATAAATTAATGAAAAACTGAATTAGGTTTCTAGGAGCAAAAAGATGTTAAATTCTTTTCCGTGTTCAGCTGACAAGAATAATTTGAAACCGGATTTCAGCTGAAAAAAATCGATGCTTTGACGATAAACCTTGAGTAGGTTCAGCAGATGAGAGTGAGGAATTAAAAGTTGAACCGGAAATAGAAGTAGCTAGCGAGAATAAGGATATAAAAAATGATTTGGAATTGGAGTTAGCAGATGAGAAAGAGGATTTAAAAGATATACCCGAAATGAATATAGCAGATGAGATTAGGGATATAAAAGTTAAACCGGAAATGAATTTAGCAGATGAAGATGAGGCAATATAAGTTGAACCGGAAATGGATTTAGCTAAAGAAAATAAGGATATATAAATGCACCGAAAATGGATTTAGCAGATGAGAATGAGGATATAAAAGATAAACCGGGAAATGGATTTAGCAGATGGGGTTAGGGATATAAAAGTTAAACCGGAAATGAATTTAGCAGATGCGGATGAGGCAATATAAGTTGAAAACCAGAAATGAATTTAGCTAACGAAAATAAGGATATATAAATGGATTTAGCAGATGAGAATGAGGATAAAAAAATTTAACCGGAACTTGATCTAGCTAATGCGAGTGGGGGATTGAGATTTGAACCGGAAATGGATTAAAAAGACGAGAATTGGGAAATAAAAGTTGAACCGGAACTTGATCAAGCTGACGCGAGTGCGGATGTATGATTTAAACCGGAAATAGTCCTATCTGCTGAAGTGGGGGTATGGACACAGGCAAGTATCCTGGAAGACGTCTCAATGTCAAAATTTATCGAAAACAAAACCTCTCTATACATAATATTCTCTTTTGTTATAATAACTAGACAGTAAAGTTGGAAACTGATTTTTTCCAATTTTCAATTAAAAAACAAACGTTTTTCAAAGTATGAAGGGAGTGAAGAAATTAAATTTCGCAAATGAAAATAAGGGTAACCTGCCACTTAGTTTTATTTGCAAAGCATAATAAACTAATATTCAATTTTTTTACCATAATTAATTATTTTTATTACGAAAACAAATAAGTTTTGAACATTAAATTGTATTTTCAGGGTTTACCGGGAAGATGGACTGTGGGCTTGAAGAGCGCACGTTTCATTGTGATAAATGCAGTTACGTGGCTAAACGAGTGACTAATCTAAAGACGCATATAGAAAGCCAGCATATCGGTATACGCTTCAAGTGCAATCAATGTGAATATAAAGCAACAGGTATGGGGTACCTTAAGATTCATAAGGAGAGCAAACATGAGGGAGTACTTATTCATTTGATCAATGTACATATGTTTCACCCTTTCTGAGTAGTTTGAACAGACACAAAGAAAGTAGACATCTTGGAACACTGCTTTACTGTGATGAATGCGAATATTCAACATCTGGAAAAAGCAACCTGCAGAAACACAAGAAAAAAAAACATGGGGAGGGATGTCCATGCGATATTTGCAATTATGTTGCAACAAGAACCTATTATTTAAAAAATCACAGACAGAATAAGCATAAAAATGAGTTGAATTCACAAATATTAAAGAATTAAGTTATTAAATATTTATACTTATCACTCTTTAGACTTAATTACCGGCGTTGCCCGTGGAATTAAAAAAAAATAATTTATTTTTTCCAGCTATACCTAACTAAATATATATAAATATGAGTCAAGGGCGTATACAGGGGGCAGTGCCCCCTCCTAGACCTGTAAAGGGGGGGGCGTAGCCCCTTCTATAACTTAGAGCTTTCACACTTATCAAATCTTGAACTCAAGAGTGAAGAAAATAAAATAAATAGTTTGCTGTTCAGTGCACTGAGACCAGCAAGACAGAAGTCCGAATGAAAAATCTATCTAGTATGCACATTCATCCTAATGTTTGGCTTGGCTTGAGTTTGGAGGTACAGGGTGTCCCAAAAAACATGGGAATTCAGTGACGAATTTTCTTGCGGAGACATTATAGACACATCTTTTCAGTCTTTTACCCTTTTCATTAAATAAACTCTAGCAGACATGATACTATTATGTCTTTTGAAATTAGGTATTACAATGCTAATTCATAACAAAGACGATATCGAATTCGTCACTGAATTCCCATGTTTTTTGGGACACCCTGTAGTAAAAGACAATTTTTTGTTTTTTATTTGTATTTAATTTACTGTATTCATTGCACCGTTGTTTTGTAATCTTTCTTTTTATTACAAACTAGCTGAAGTGCCAAGCGTTGTCCGTGGAATTTTAAAAATCGAAGTAAAACAAAAAACTTATAATTTATTTAGCTTATGAAGAGCTTTGTGACATAGATTAAAATTGTACTTTTTTCAAAACAGAATTGTAAAATATAGATTATTATATATTTATTTATGTATTAGAAAACAATATGGATAATTAATTGTGATGTAACCTCCATCCGAAATATACCAATATTAACGTATTGCATTATCTCTCCTTACTTTAATACACATCAAACTTTGTCACTATTCACCAAAAGTTATGATTTGACAACAGAATAAGTATAATTTCAACTATTCCATTTACGATACTTCAACAAAATTGGATTCTGAGACCAACTGGACCAACGGAACTGTCAACAAAAATATTTTATTTTTTAATTGTCTCCATTTAATTAACACGAAGTCTGAAAATGTTTGTCAACATTTTTTTTGTAATCGTAAGTTTATAATTTTTTTTATCTGCGCTCAAGCTTTGACTGGATTATGATCAGGGCTGTAGACTTTTATCAAACATTATTATTAAACATTATACAGCTTGATTAGAAACAAAACATGAAATTAAAAGCAATTTTTTTTAAATACGGCATCACACAATTTTTTATGTAGAGTGTTAATTGAAATTGAGCATTTTAGCGAACGATTTACCTTGTATGTACTTCATACGGATATGGTCTGGTTAATAAGATTTATACTTACTTAATTTTAATTGACAAAACCAATTGTAATTGAAAATATTGCATAACTTTATTGTTTCAATGAGTTTCGCAATTCAAAATCTTTATTAAATTCATCATTTAAACATTTTGGATACACAAATTTTGCCGCCTTTTTTGTACGAAATACAACAGTTGCGCCATTTCTTATTGTATCATTCTTCGCTTTTCTGTGATATTGATAACATTTCTGCTCCAGCACTTCCATGTGTAATAACTTCATTCATCCTTCGCCAATCATTTTGCAATTAGATTTTTTATGTGCAATTAAATAATACGTACATAAAATTAATCATTATTTTTTCAATATCGACGTTCTTCAAAAGAGACTAACCTCCTTACGTGCCTAACTAAAAACAGACTTAATGAATGACAAAAAGGCATTTCATTGACGACTAAAAGAAATTTACTTTTTTAATATTCCTGGGTTTCTGTCATTCTCGACTTAACTGTTTCATCCTTTGCTTGATTTTTTTAAAAGATATTCTAGACAAAACTCAGCCTTCAGATTCTTGCATTTAAAGATATTCTAGGCTAAACTCAGCCTTCAGATCCTTGCATTTAAAGATATTCTAGGCTAAACTCAGCCTTCAGATCCTTGCATTTAAAGAAAGTTTTGTGTGTAAACATTTTTTAGTTAAAATTTAAATCCTAGGGCATTCTAAAACTTAAATTTACTTCAAAATGAAAAGTGTATCAGACGCTCAAAAAAAGTTTGACCCTTATGACAAAACGATAAACTCCATCGTTTTTAATACCCAAATTTAAAGTGAATTGATGTAATTTTTAAGTAAAATAAGAGCTTTATTATGATGTACTAGCTTGAGAACCCAGAGTTTCCCAGGGTACTCATAGTTACTATCGCCGTTTACCCGCGCTTGGTCGTAAATTACGATTTTAGAATCAAACATTCCCGTGGTTCTCCCAATTAAAATGTGAGGCAAATCGGTCAAGAGGTTCGTGAATTATGATCGGACAGACAAACTTTATATTTATAGAAGAAAGACTTTTTAATCAACCATTTCCAAATTCGATAAAATAAAAACGGTCTCGAATTCTCTACGTTAAAATGTTGCTCTATAATCACAATTTTGAGTTGTGTAACATAAAAACGGTACAATTTACACTTCATAAACCTTGAAATTTACCATTATAAGTTATGTAAACATTTAACATTATTCAAACCTGTCCAGTATTGATTAGGTCCACAACGACAAATACATAAAAGTAAAATGTGATGAATAATTGCGAAGTAGAATTATGTATTTCCCATATAAAATTATCAAATGTAACAAATTAAATTTTATAAATATTTTGTCATAAATCAACACTGTGTACAAATCAGGTTTTAAGGGAAGTTGGCAAGGCACTTTGGGGCTGTACAATACAGATTACACAGATATTACGGAGTTTGTAGTAGGCAAGTAATATAAAATGTACATAGCGACCTTATCATCACAGTTATCTATGAAACCAAATAAAATAGATGAAGTCGTGAATGGGGTCACACCGTTTTAATATTAATTGTTTTCCAGGACAAACTTATTTAAGGTTTTCTAATTTCTAGTAAATTTTTTTTTTTTTGGGGGGGGGGGGGTAAATGAGGAAGTTTTAGATTGATCGAAATAACGATTTAGAGAAAAGATAAAATGCATTCGTATCCGTGAGTTCGTATTTTTGTGGAACCGCGTCAGGGATCTATAATTTGCAGATTCACTGATTTTACGTTCTACACTACACCCTTGGGTAAATTTCTTCCATTGTATCTATGCAATCTGTGCTAGAGACTAACAAATTTGTGGACTGAATCTATTAAAATATTAATTATGGATTGAAAAACAAACTTGAAATGGTACAACAAAAAAATCACAAAAATCAAATACCATTAATATTACACACACTGAATAAATATAGGTGGTTCACAACCAAACGAAAACTGATAACAAATTCATCCAAGGATAGTAGAGGCAGGTTAAACATCAATCATCTGTTTAGGCCTAAAATAAAAACATGAAATTTTGCGTTTTATTTATAGAGAACTAAGTCGTCAATTAAGCTTGAAATTCCATCAATTTACTCAATGAGAAAATGATTTAGTAAATTAAAAATTAATGCATGAAAAGTTATTCAAGAGTTACAAGTGGAAAATGATTTGAGGGCAATGTTTTTGGAGAACACTTTTTAAAATTATTTTAAAGTGTACCCTAAACAATACAATGTACATTATACAGTTTACCTAGTTGCCATGAACACTAAGATGACCACCAGTGCAAAAGCAGCGCCAAGCACAGGGAGTGCTAAAATATAATAATAAAAAATACATCAAATAAAACTAGGTATTTGAACATTTTAATAATAAACAGTTCGTAAATCGGACAATTTAACAGGAATGAGCGAAAAATCTATGACCTATAACATATTAAAAATTGACAAAGATAGAAAATAATAATTAATGTAACGTTTTTTTTTTAATTATCACCTATTGAGAACGCCTTATCCTTCATCTCAATAAACTCCTTCTTCCTTTCCCTTTTCTCCCTAGCATTTTCTACAAAATTGTATTTTGTTTAAAATTACTTTTTTATATCTCAATAATGTTTCAATTACTTTTTATCAAATTTGGCGGATTAATTTTCATCATGAAGTTCATTATATTATATCTTTAATTCTTTCATGTTTTAAGAATTAGCAGTGATAAGAAAATTTGGGGGTTGAAACCCTTCTATTCAATGAAAAAAGTTTTTTTTTTCTCTATTTTTGTGTAAGGAGCATTAGGAAATATAAACTTAGGTCCCAAAAGTCAAAACCCTAAAATAAATAAAAAATACCCGGGACTAAGAAGTCACTAAATCGTGCCAAAGATTGCTAATTGATGATTCAAATCCAAAATCATGAAAAATTCCAACTTTCACTTAGATTAAAGCTTAATGCAACAATTTCTTATAAGGGGGGGGGGGCTTGAACTCATCACCACCTTTATCTAACAGCAAAATTTATTTAATACCTTTAGTTTTTCCTCCCTTGAGTTGACGCATTTTCTCTGCAATAAAATATGTTAAAATTACAAAACAGGTTTACCTGAAATATAAATAATTTGAATTTAAATATTTGCTAAACCTACTAATGCTGACATTGTTTAAGAACTACATTGGTTGAGTTTAACCTGGCATAAAATAATGAGACAACACACATGATAAATCCAATTTAAAAACACGTGTTTGGATTTCTTTTTCACTGGCACAAGTTGAATGAGTTATCTTAGTAGGTTTCACATAGCCTCAGCCTTCAGATTATTGGATTTGATTGTTTATACTTGATAATGTTCAGATCAATAAATCATTTCACCCAGCTGTCAAATAAATGATCCATACTGGATGATCACCAATCATTGATCTACTGGATTCTTAGATCATCTGCTTGTACTGATCTCCAGCAAAACTGTCCAAATACTGAAAAAAAGGCAAAAATAGAATAAAATTAAAAATAAACGGTTTTGATAAAAACTTAATGTTTGGGGAAATACCCAGACTTCTAAAAAACTAGTTTGTTTTCAACGATAATACATAAGTAATAATTAAGTATGATAATAATATTTAAAGATACTAATTACTTATTCATTTATCTTATTTGTTTATTTAAATTAAACCAGTTGATGAATGATTTCCAGAGATGAAACTTTTAAAATTTTAATCCATTGGCAAAAACTCTAGGAGTGGCAATTTTTTAAAGATTTTTGTTGTTTTAATTAGGGGAAAATTAATTTACTTTAGTGAAAAAGTATCAATAAGGATGAAAACATTTTCCTTTTCACGTCCAATTTTTTATTTATATTATTAATACTAACCGATCCTATCCCCGGCATGTTGAGTATTGTTCCTAGAACAGGAACCCGCCGTAGGAAGTTGATAGCCACAGGGAAAAAACCACTAAAATAAAGTTGATATCATTATTTTTAGAAACAACAATCAAATAAATCAGAAAAGCAAAAACATTGTTTAAATTATAAAAAAGTTAAAACAAATTGAATTGTAATGATCAAACAAACGACGTCTTAATAATTTTTAAAAAAGATCAATTTATTTTCTCTACAATTTTTCTCAGCGAGACCCAAAAAACTGTGGAATAATAAACATAAAACACAGCAATTGTGTAATGTAATTGTGTAATGTACACAGACCATTTTACACTTAATAGTTGATACAGGTAAAATATTTTGCTTCATAACAACAAAATACATACAAGATTGCTTATATATTTTAGTCCTAATAATATAGCTTAATTAAGTTTTGGAAACAAAGTTGAAGAAAAGGGAACTTTTAAAATCGTTATCCCCATCCCTCATCTGCCCCTTGTGTTGCGCCTATGACAAGGTCTAACCTGAAGAGGACTACGAAACCGTAGAGCTCCACCAGCATCCCAATGAGAGGATACCCGAACAATACTATAAATATTCCTCCGAAGAACGCACTGCTACCTTTCGCTTTGTGCCATTGGAAAAAAAATCTAGAAATAAAAACAATGTTAAAAAAGAAAACAGAAAAATTGAGATACGAAAATTTTAGATATAAAATAGATTAAATAATATTGTTAAGAATGACCAGGGACCAAATGTAATAGCTAGAAGTAATCGAACTACGTGAGCTAAATTCAACCACTTCTCATTTGCGCCGGTTCAAGATAAAGAGAATTGGTTCAGTACAATCTACAATCTACATAATTTATCTACTTCTCACAATCCATTTTAGGCCCATTGAGGATTTCTATTCATTTTTTATTTACCTAAACGTTCTTTCTAGTCCTATAACGCAGGCCAGACCAGATAAAAATAAAACCTAAAATATGTATGTACTTTATTGTGCATAGGTTTCAAGATATTAAGAATTAATAAATAATTAAACTTATTGGATTAAACGGACAGACAAACAGACAGACAAACAAGCAAAGTATATAGAAAAAGAAGCCAGGGGGTTTCTCAGGAGGAGATGTAATTTGGGGAAATTTTAAAATAACATTGACAAAAAAAAATTGTTATTTTATTATTTCACCGAAAAAGCGTACATTATCACCTAAAAAAGATACTTCTAAAAGTTTGAATTTTTAAAAGTTTAAATCTTACATTTCCTATTGCTAGTAATCCCTTGTCAAAGAGCAGAATAACTCCAAGAAGAAGGAAGGATACTCCGAACCCTGCTAACCCAACTCCAATCTCTGAAAGCATTAAAAAATAAAATCATTAACTAAATTCATATCGCAACTTTTTCAAGTAAACATGTCAAGTGTCGGACAAAAATTGAAATTAATTAACATTAATTAACAGTCTAACAAGCAACAATTAACTAATACAATCAAGGGGGACTAAATATCGTCAATCAAGTTCATTATGGGAACAGAAATACAGAATACTGGACTACTGTGAAAAAAAATCTGTTGGACCAGAATTCTGGGCTACGGGACCCAATTTCTGACCCCGGAATTCTGGGTTATGGGACAGAATACTGGACTACTGTGATAGAAATTCTGGAGTCTGGAGATCAAAACTCCAATATAACTAACTATTGATCTTGATGTTTAAGAACAAGTATAAAGTCTGTAAGATGATAAATTGGTTGGTTTAGATCTCCCTCACACAAGTATGGAACCCTAGACCACCGAACCAAATCAAACCCTGCTCTTCTTAGCACTTCAACAGCTGATACTATAAAAACAACACATTCATCAAAATAAGATAACAAACATCGAAAAAAAAAATAAATAAAAAGGAAGAAAATCTAATAAGATCAGTTTAATGGTTAATTGTTGTATCCCTATTTGTTGCTCTGTCGTATCTCCATGTATATCTAGTAGCTGGCTTGGTTTATTCTTCTCCTTTACATTCAACTCAACATAAGGACGGAATGGAAGCACTAGAGCTATCAGTAGTAAACCTAGCTTATCAAACTATTAATAAGAACTAGAGCTATCAGTAGTAAACCTAGCTTATCATACTATTAATAAGAACTAGAGCTATCAGTAGTAAACCTAACTTATCAAACTATTAATAAGAACTAGAGCTATCAGTAATAAACCTAGCTTACCATACTATTAATAAGAACTAGAGCTATCAGTAATAAACCTAGCTTATCAAACTATTAATAAGAACTAGAGCCATCAGTAGTAAACCTAACTTATCAAACTATTAATAAGAACTAGAGCTATCAGTAGTAAACCTAACTTATCAAACTATTAATAAGAACTAGAGCTATCAGTAGTAAAACTAACTTATTAAACTATTAATAAGAACTAGAGCTATCAATAATAAACCTAACTTATCAAACTATTAATAAGAACTAGAGCTATCAGCAGTAAAATTAGCTTATCAAACTATTAATAAGAACTAGAGCTATCAGCAGTAAACCTAGCTTATCGAGCTATCAATAAGAACTAGAGCTATCAGTAGTAAACCTAACTTAACTATTAATAAGAACTAGAGCTATCAGTAGTAACCTCGCTTATGAAACAAAAAAATGGTGTTTGATCTAACTGTTAACTAGAGCTATCAGCGTATATCTAGCTTATCAAACTAAAACATATCTAGTAGTATCAGTAGTAATTAGTAAACCTTATCTTATCAAACTGTAAGTAAGAACTAGAACAGTATTCAACCTAGCTTTCGAATCAAAAAATATAAATCAATAAATCAATTAATGGTGTATAATATTCCACTATAACTTAATTTAGTAAATTAATAGAATTCCTTGAGGTTTGAGGGATGCTTTAATAGCTTGAAGAATAGTTTCAGGATTATCTGCTCTATCCAATAGATTTAGACAACTAGACACATTTACAAATACGTCATTTAGACAAAAATACAGATGCTTGATAACAATATATAGATTAAAGAACTAGACACATAGTCAGAGTTAAATGATCATATATAAGTATGTGATTTACTAATATTTTAACATTTTAGAATTTAATTTATATATATGTCCCTGATAAGATCGAATGGACCTTGTTCAGCCCAGTGTTCTACCTCCAACACCTTTAAGCATCATGATATACATCTACTGGTCAAGCAATTAAGAAGACTGTCGACCTTATTTCAAAACCTTCATTTGTAAAGATACAAGTCTGATTCTTTTCGACACCGTAATCTAAATAACAATGAGGAAGATGTAGTCTTGAAGAGATAATTTGTGTCAATTTCTCTCCTTGTCTTTGTTGCATAATTCCGCATCTCACTTTTACAGAGAAACCACAATGTAACATTATAAATTTTTAGATAAAAAAAGAATATATGCAGCCATTTTGGCCAAACACAGGGAACCGTTGTGGCGGACAAGTCGTCGTACTCTCCGCCATAATGTCTGCAAGCATCTACCTGATCTAAACTCATGTGATATATAAAAAGTCGCCATTTTTAGATTCACTTTTTTTGCAGAGAACTAGGAATCACGGTGTCCAGAACAACTTCTTATCATCCCCAGGCTAATGGAATGATCGAACGTTTTCATAGAAGCTTGAAAGTTGCTCTCAGGGCTCGAGCAGCTGGTTCAAACTGGTTCCAACATCTGCCTCTGGTTCTTCTGGGACTTCGTACTGTTCCTAAAGAGGATACTGGTTTTTGTTCAGCAGAAGCAGTTTACGGATCTACTCTCAGCGTTCCAGGAGAGTTTCTGAGCGTTCCAGAGTTCCCATGTGAATTTTTAGAGCAAGGGTCACAAAATCGACAGCCTTTTTATGAAAAAAAATAATTTAGAGTTTGATTAAACATTTTTTCGTTCTCATAAATATAAGTAAAAAATTGGATGCAATGAATGAAAAAAAAATAAATCCCGGGTTTTGTACTTGCTGCAATACTGTACTATTTTTAGTTCGATACACCGTCATATAAACTTGATCCGGCGCAAGAGAGAAGTGGCTCAACTATATTTACAAAGTTCAACTACTTTTAGCTATTCATTTAATCTAGTCTCATTCTTTTTAAATGTATTTAAGTAAAGACGCTTTCCTGGATTCCGTTGGATTTAAGAATTTTTCTCATTGGAGCTGAAGCTTCAGTTGCATAAACACTGGTGAAACTATTTGAAACCATGGATATAAAATACAATGAAAATCTACATTTATTCAATATGGATCAACTCCGAACAATACTTTAAGTTTTAATATCTTGGCATGGCTTCAAATCAACTGCCTTTGATTGTTCGTAAAATCAGAATATAAATATGAAAATAAATATATATATAAATAAATACAAGTTTATCTAACTTTATTTAAAGCAAAAATTCCAAGAACTTTGAAAGATCGTTAGCACAACCCTCTCATTTTAATGTCGAGTGAGATTTCTAACAATCAGCAAACAAAACGATGTTTCAGAAAAATTAATGAGCTGGATCAGAATCCACTTTTGCGCATGACGGATCTGGATTAAAATGGGATGGATCCTAGGTATTTGTTACTGATTAGCTAATCCTACCAGAGTATTTATATCTATAAAGGTTTCCTATGAAACATAGACATTGTAGGAGCTCCGTCCCCTGCCCCTAGATCTATCATCTTCTCTAGATAGGAGTGCTGTGCTAGATAATCCATATACCAACTATAGTTATATTATCAGGTTTGTATTGACATTTTTTTAAAACTCACCCCCCCCCCCCCACCACAACCACCAAAACATTTATTTTATGTTTATGGCAAAGTTCACTAATATAAGTTGCATTAAAAAGATTGGCGGGCTAAATTTTAGCCCCTTTTTCTAAGAAAAACATTGTTTAATAATTAGGTATCCAAATAATCTTCTTTTTTCATGCGGTATTTTTTATCCACACTGGCGTGAACGCCAGAGAGAAATCTAATTTTATCTTGGAAAACCCCTGTAATAGTGTTTTAAAAAATAAAAAGAATAAAAAATAGATCTGAGAGAAAAACAGGGGTGTATATTTTCTTGAAAAATAATTTTCCACCAAAGGAAATTTTTTAATTTTTTCCCCCAGAGCATCAAAATCATCCCCATTGTAGTTTCCAAGACTGCGGGTGTAAATTGTTTTAACACTCCTTCAGGTAAACATTCTTTTGAAATTGATATTTCACCAGAGCATGAAACATAATGATTTGTAAAAGGCATTAATTAATTGAAGAAAAAATAAATAAAAAATATTAAAATGAAAATAAATTGTTACGACTTTATAAAATATGGTTTAGCACACCTCCTTCCAGTCCATCTGTTAGCGTTAAATACTGTTCTCTAAAGAAGCATTTTTTTTTATCAAAATACCCTGCAGGAAAATGTTTATTGATAGAACAGGCATTTAGCCTTAAATTTAAGTGCTCAAATTGGATATCGAAATCAAGGGTTCCAGATTATCGACAGTTCCGACCTCAGGTTTAGTTATTTTAAAAGAAGATGAAAAATTAATGTTAATCTTCCCTTGAGAGTACAAACATAGAACCTCGTCCAAGTATTCCGTTTATATCAGTTTGTGTGTAGAATATACTCATAAATATCTTCAAAATATTCACAGTTTAAAAATTCGATTTTGGATTTTTTTTCCTATAACGACCCGTAAAAATAATGCTTAGATTTGTTTCCTTTTTTGCCAGGATTTTAAATAAAAACTGGAAACCACCCTTGTTCATTTACTGTGAAATAAAAGTAAGTTAAAAATGGGACAAGAATCTTTGAAATTAAGAAATGTGATAGGAAAAAAATCTGCAAACCTTAATTAGCAGAACCTTCAACATTTTTAAAAATAATTGATTTCTTTTAAGTGAACATGAACCTTTGCAAAATTTTGATATAATTGAGTAAATATCCAGTCTGATTTCTCGGAACTCTGCCGAGCAAATTCTTGTGTAGCGGTGTCAGCTGATAACTGAACAAACTTCTCCCGCATTTTCTCATCTTTAAATTCTAATATTTTATCCAAGAAAAACATCTGCTATGAGCCAAAAAATAAGAGATTTAAATACCTCCATACTGTTAGCTTGCAGACAAGAGGTGTAAACTGTAAAATAAAAAAAGATGTGTTGCCTACTAGGAGCCCAGACTGTAAAATGGGGGATTAATGAAAGGCATTTTTAATCATTTGTATTTAGGCACAACTGATTCAATGTTAGCTTTGGTGGATATGATTTTAAATACTATCTTAAAAAGATTACAACAATTTTAGATTTCCTGAGATATCTTGAAGATTTACTTGATACCAGCCTGGTTTCACTAGTTCACCATTCTCAGTCTCAGCATTCATCTTCAGGCCCAGGTATTAGAGTTAATAAGACGGGGGTATGAAAAATCGAGTTTTTTGATGCAGTAACGTAACGTACTTGCACTATATGTCAAATTAAATATAAAATGTTAAAAGATCAAGATTGTTAAGCAACTTCCAATTTGTTATGGGTTACTTCCTCTCCTTCCTTCTCCTCGCCAATTCCTGGAATATAAAAAATTCAGAGATGAATCTTAGAGAATTCAAAAAATTGTAATGGATAGAATCGGAAATTTCGACCCAAGGTCACGTACTCTGGTTTATGCTTCTAAAGCGCTACCAAGATTGTTAAATTCTGCTAATTTAAATCTTTTTTGTCAGAGTCAAATGGAGGTCAAAATCTTTGCCAAAAAAAACTTTTGTAGCTTTAGTTACACTTAACGTACTGCTTCTCTCTCATTCATAAATTTGCATGCTAGGAGGTATAAGAAATAAAACGTTAATAATTTCTTAACTATTCTTTAGTTATTAACTTAAGCCTTTGCCTTGTTTATAAGTACTTGAGTCAGTGAGCTACGAGGTCTATAGTTCATTCTAGATATACCGCAGTAGTCCAGTATTCGGGGGAAAACCAAAACCAACACCAACGGTAAGAAAATTTGAAGAAAGTTGGCAACGTAAACTCTCATCACAAACCTGAAAAAGAACAGAAATAAGTTTTAGAGAGAAAAAGTTCCATATTTACAAAGGTGTTTTAATTGAAAATCTTAGTTCTGTTCTTTTTCAATAAAATAAATGAAAAACTTACTTTGAACATCCGTAATCTGCATCATTTTCGTATTCTCTGTATTCTCTGTTCGTATGAAGGGGTTAACTGTTCATTTCTCTCTGAAAAATAACAATATTTACAGAAATGAAAAAAAATCAATATTTTGTCTATAACAAAGGTTGCAAATTTTTAGTTACGGTATCAAAGTTAACAATTTAAAAAAGCTAAACCTTGATAACAATGATTTGTTTGAGCAAAACACGGATTGAATTTTTCTTTTACAGGGTGGAAATAATATTATTAATAAATCCAAGTTTATTGTTATGTACCGTGTACATAAGAGGACTGTATAATACTTTTTATGTATTTCGATAAATATTTTCCTAAGGTTTGGCTCTGATGTAAAATGTAAATAAAAAGTCTAAAACTGTTGACCCACTCAAGATTAATGCATCCAACTTCATATACTAAACTAAAGTCTGGTTCTCAAAACTAACATGTCTGATCATTGATCATTGATTTAACACAAGAATTCTTTGAATTAACATTGTCTGTAATTTATCCTTTCTGTCGGGGGCTAAACCACTCGTCGGACCTGAAACAGTTCAAATCAATATGTATATTTAACTCAGAATTAATTATTATAAAAAATAAAAAAGTTTTTTGTATTAATAATTTTGCAAAAACGTATTGTATTAATGTTTGCATTCTTAATCTTTTTAAATTAAATCATAGGAGAATATTCATATTTTTTTTCATTTTAATGATTAAATGAGCTGTTATTTTAAAATGAATTTTACCTCAAAAAATCGTTTCAGATAATAGATTTGTCCAAGGGTCATCGCTACCAGCACCAAAGCCTGAAAAGTTTAACTCAACAAGCATCAAGTAGTATTAAGTAAAAAATTAAAGATAGTCTTTTTTAATTTGATAAACAAGACAGTTTTTCATTTCTTATATAGAATTTTTTTATCTTACCCCCCCCCCCCCTCCATCACGAAAAAATGCAATCTTGTATAAGAACTAAACATATAAAAAAAATTACCTCAAAGAACGACCACATAACAACTCTAGAATTAGTGCTCTCGTTTATATTTCTGTGAATTCTATCTCGAACCTAAAAAAACGTTACAAATTACAAAATGCATGATAAATGACACATCATATTTGAAACATGATAAATGATAAATGAAATATGATTTGCGAGTATAAAGGTATATATGATCTGAAATCGTGTGTAATCTTTGTGCCTTACTTTTGACAAAAAATTAGTTAAAATATTCATGTAAACTTTCAAAGTGTAAATAATTCTTGAGAATTATCAAATTTTACGAGTATAAGAATAATTGTAAGATCTGCAGGGGAACCCGACATGGAACCCCCAGAATGCCTTCAACATTCAGTCTTAATTCAGGCTATTACACAAAACTAAAGTGTATGAAACAGGTGTTATCCATTTATTATTAAAGGGAGTGTTCGCAAAAAAGGGAGTGTAAAATTAGAAGCGATTGAATCCAATCTTTTAAGGTTTCAGTCTGACGCCTCTTCCTTTTAACAAACTCGTCGATCTAACCTGCATATACTCTTGCTCATGCTTTACACCGGACAGAGCAGTAGATAGTTCCTGGTTTACAACTAGCATAAAAACGATAGAACTTAAAAAATTCATAACTATTTGAGAAGAAAATATTAATTTGGGATATTTTCTAGTTTTTTTATGCATTCCTTAATCATGTCTTCCAATTTGTTATGGGTTACTTCCTCTCCTTCCTTCTCCTCGCCAATTCCTGGAATATAAAAAATTCAGAGATGAATCTGGAATCTGGATACAAGAATAATCAAGCCACCAAACAGAAAAGGACATTCGTTGTATTTTAAAGGAACCCTCCACTTAAAAAGGGGCCTAATAATGTGTTTCTAGCTTGAAAAGTATAAATTAGCTAGTCACATTTGTAGAGAATCACAATTGAAATTAATCAGTTTTCATAATTATAAACATGGATATCTAGTTCATACTTGATTAAACAAAGGTTTTGAAGGTACCGTTGTTAATCGGACATACTAGTCTATATCTGGAGGGTAACCCACATTGACAAAACCCACCTTTAATCAATTTAACCATGTAGCAAAATAAATAAATATTAAATAAATATTAATAATTCTGAATTCTTAAATCCCCCCATCCTCCTCCCAAACAAAAGGAGAAATAAGTATATTGTGCTTATTTACCGTCGGCTGGAGCTTCTCCAATATCCATGTCAAACATCACAATTTTCGGAGTCATGGTTGACATCTGATTACTAAAGTATGATAAGATTTTACAAAGAAGGGTTAAACACAGGGTAATTTTTATCTCAAACTTTCAAAAATAAGGTTCAAAGGGAGTCAAGATAAAAAACTACAAATTCACATTCAAGAAAAATTAAGGAAAAACTTCTTTCCGCAATTATGAGAAAATTTAAAATTAGAAATGGAGAAGAGGAAATACAAAAACTTTAGAAACTCTAATTCTTCTGAAAGGAAAAAAAATATTTAAACACGCATAGTTATTCTGTTTAATAATTGAGTCATACCTGAAGCAATATTGATAAACACCATCCATATGAGCAGCAAAAGTATATTTACCATTAGTCTCTCTCTCGCCCTTATACAAATACAATTAATATAAACCTTCATCTTTTCTAATCGTTCATTCCATCCATTCAATTATCAATGATCAATCATTATTTATCAATCATTTAATCATTCATCCTATCCTATCATCCCATCATCCCATTATCATATCATCCAATCATCCAATCATCCAATCATCCAATCATCCAATCATCCAATCATCCTATCATCCTATCATCCTATCATCCTATCATCCTATCATCCTTTCATCCTTTCATCCTTTCATCCTTTCATCCTTTCATGATTCATCATCAATCATTCAAAGATCAATCAATCAATCATTCAATTATTCAATCATCCTTTCATCCTTTATTTCAATAATCAATCAATCATCAATCATTCAATTATTCAATCATCCTTTCATCCTTTATTTCAATAATCAATCATCAATCATTCAATTATTCAATCATCCTATAATTTAATCATTCAATCATCAATGATCAATCGATAAATCATCAATCAATCAAGCTCTACCTGGTGAATTGGCTTGCTATCAGGACCAACTATTTTGACATCAATATCTATAATAATTTGTTTTATTTAAATGCTGCAATAAATGTTTAAACATTGAGTAAAGTTAGTTTGGTTACAGCTAAGCTTAACTTTTCCGATTTTTAGGGGAAAAAACTTTAACTTTCCATATTTAAACACAAATTGTTTGAAAAACATACATTCTTAAGTTTGATGATATTAAAGTAAGAACCCGAAAAAAAGGAAATGATTCATCATTTCTTCAGATACACAGGATGCTATGAAGCATTATATTTCACGTAGGCTGGTTATAAATTGCGGTATTTGATTATAGTGTTATACTATTTTTCTTGAGTCTATTCCTAACAAAAAACGTATAATTAGTTATCATTTAAGGAAAAATAATCACCCAAATCCACCAAGAATGAATTTTAGAAAAAATTAAAATTATTCTATTTTGACATTATACACCCAAAGCACAAATAGAAGTTGAAAACCTTTTCTGCGACATAATTCTTTCTTCCTCTTATTATTGAGGTTCATCAAACTGTTCAGCGAAGAGAGGATCATCAAGCTGCTCAGCGAAGGGAGGACCATCAAACTTCTCAGCGAGAAGAGGAGTATCAAGCTGTTCAGCGAGAAGAGGATCATCAAGCTGTTCAGGGTGTTCAATCTTCTTGAAAACAGTTCCTGGCATTAGCTTGAGTTTGTTGGGAGCTTGTTCATTCCAAGAAAACAAGGACTTTGCACATATATTGTCTTCCCTGAGAACCTTTTCAGTGGCTTCCCATAGCTTGTTCACAACAGAATATTTGGACAAACTGGACCCGATTTTTTTGGTAAGAAAATCCCATATAAAACCTTTGTGCTGTTTCATATTAATGTAAAACTATAACCAAATTCCGCAATTTCATGTAAAACCAAATTTCATGTAAAACCAACTTTCAAAAATATTTTAATAATTTTGTAGTATGCATAACTTTTAATATGGAACACTTACAACATTGACCCTTTAGGAGCTACTAAAGATCTATATGAATAACTTCTGCAGGGACAAAAAATTCAAAACCTCACAAAGCTTAGCTCTAAAATTTCAAATTGCATTATTTTGCCTATTTGTTTATAATGTCCTGTGTGAATAAAAATATTCTCAACTAAAGGTATACAAACCTGATAATAATATTCTAGTAAGAAGTAATTTTGGTCAGACTAACATTTCTACTTGCAATGATATGAGGGTTAAAACCAAAATCATCAATTTTTTAAATATCACCAAATATCGCGCTTTACTCTATATAAAAAAGTCGAAGACAAACCTAGAAAACCTCCTTCAGCAACCTCGAATATGAGTCCCATCTTGGTCCCTGATTTCACCTGAAAACAGAAAAATTTAAATCCTTATTTCTCAGAAGAATTTTTCATACAGCCAGTTAAATAATAAACATCCCGAATTGCGCTCATGCCGATATTTGAATGTAAACATTTGTCGACGTAACTAGTGCGTAAATAAGGGGGGTTATTGGGTTTGCTTACCCCCCCTAGAATCTTGGGGGCACAAACATCCCCGTTTAGTAACTTGATCTCCATTCTCCATGTCCATGACTACCATTAAAAGGAAAAATGTAAAAAAAATGTTGCCTCTTCGCGCAGATAATTTTACTCAATCAACTTTAACAAAGAAACATAGATGAATAGATGAAAAATCGAGTTTTTTGATGCAGTAACGTAACGTACTTGCACTATATGTCAAATTAAATATAAAATGTTAAAAGATCAAGATTGTTAAGCAAGAATTAAATCTTAAAAAGTAAGACATTTCTCTTTAATAAAGTGAAATTAACATGTATACCTACTACCTAGTACATTGACGACAAGAAAATTTAAAAAATTAGAAATTAGAATATAAACAAAGACAATACTTTTTCAAAGTTTTGCAGAGAAGCTTTTCTAAAGATTTAAAAAAGTTACATCTTTTTCCTCTTAGAGTAAAACTATTTTTTATGTGACTTAAAATAAATTCAGTTTTTTTACAGATCTTTGCAAGTTAATGTAAAATGAATGACTATAATGAAGGATATAAGACAAGGTGAAAGCTGAAAGGTAGGAAATGAATTGCCTCTATTTGGAGTTTGTAAATGCCAGAAACGAATGGAAAATGCAAATTAAACCANCCTACAGAATCCTAATTTACGCCCCTGGACGTAACGCATTAAAATAAACATTAAAGCTATCGTGAAAAAAACTTCCCAAAATTTTATTTTTATAAAAAGAACACGATAAACAATACAAAAGAAAACGTACATTATGTTTAAATTCTGCATTTAAGTTATTAGAAAACATATAAGCGGAAAAATATTATTATTCATAACAATTCGATAATTGTGAAATATAAATGTATTTGAGATTGTTGGTCACCTTGTCAAAAAAGCATTCTTCGGCATGTGCATCAACAGTCACAAAATATCCACTGCTACCACGAATCAAAAAACTTAACAATAAACGATTGATTAGAGCTGGAAAATAATAAACAAGAGGTTAAATAGTTGAACCAGCGTGCATAGTTCCACTCAGGGCTGCCAAATTTTTCCCCCTAAGAAATACACAGAGAATATCACATTTTAAGAAATCTTTGATGTTGAATTAAACGGATGACGAGTCAGGGCTTAAGATTTCTATTCATAAATTCCTATTGGATTGCCAAATTAATGTTTAGAAAATAAATGTTTTATGAAAAAAGTAACTTTACTTTAGAAACCCTGGTACATCAGAATAATTTTATTCAAGCAGGATCAAGAAATGTTCACTTATGTACTTGATTAAGCTTCTAGACAGCCCTGGTTCAACTAGGTCAAGTTTCACGATCTCCCTAGATCAAGGTTGATTCGGCATTATACAATAATTGGTTTGACTAAGACTATACGCCGCTAATTAAAAATATATCTTCTCATTCATAAATGGTTCTTGTTAAACCTTGTACAATAACTTATAAGAAAAGGTAATTAATAAACGTATTTTTGACGATATAAGGTATTCACAATGTTAGAAGTATTATTTGTGGAATAATTACTTTAAATCGGTAAATTAAACTTATTCAAATCATTAAAAGAACTGGATAAACCAATTGCTTACGTTTCCTCAAATTTAATACACGTATAATTATACACTTGATTGTGAAAAAGCTGATGTAATACTAGTTCTACATTTTCTTTGAGCAGCAAAAACTATGAAAATTCGGCTAAAATAATATAAATTACCATAGCAGAAGTCCAAATAGTGAAGAGCTCAAGCGCATTTTAAAATCTAAAATTCATTAAGTTTGACAGGAGTAATTTCAAATTTAACCAATATGTATAGAATATTTATGTTGTTTATATAATTTCACGTTTTTGTTAGTAAAGTCTTAAGTTTTTTAAAACCATAAAATTTCACAGTAAGTCAATATTCCTTATCAAAAAATTCTCGTTTGCCGTTACACGTCACCCCTAAGGAAAAGTGTACTCAATTGTGTACATGATAACCTGAGTATAAAATACCGATTCACTCGTCGGATATTTTATTTGTAACGGAGATAATCGGAACTAGAAAGAACACATTTGAAATCATATGAGCGACTTTCAAATGCTTTGCTTGAGAAATCGCACGTCAAATTTACTGCTACGAATTCTAATTAATCCAATGGTAAGTTCATTTATCTGTAAATCCTCTTGAAAGAACTAGTTAAATATAAGATTTAGCGCTATCGAACCCGCCTTTAGTTTTCAGATACAAATGCTATTCCTCCATTGGTTGAAATCGCGGTTTGTGGATTTGGGAATATGTCATTGGTTCAATTATTTGAAGACGATTTTTAACAAGCTGAAATTTAAGTTCCCGGATTTTCATTGTCACGAAAATATCTCAGCTGATTGCGGTCTAACAGGTTGCTTGAAGATATGATTAAGAGGCAGATTGTGGATTTTCTGGAACTTTTTCGGGTCCGTCCTAGAGCACAATTTCTTCAAAAATCGTATACTAGGACAGACCCAACACCGCATGTTCATCTGCATGTGGGAGGGGAGATGCTCAGAGTTTTTTTTTGTTAACTCAGACCCTCATATTCTTTTGAAATCATAGATTTTCAGATTCTAAATTCCAAATATTAAGATGAGTGGACTAGTTTGGGCAGTTAAAAATGGAGATATGGATCAAGTGAAACGTTTAGTTGAAGAACAGGTTATAGGAATAAGGCCTTTTGTTTGTGTTCTGGATCCTTTTGAATATAGATCTTATTAACGAGACCCTCCCCATTCCCTTTATATTTTATGTTTTTTGTTCTTCAGTGTGAAATCGTCGAAATTGAAATTGATAGATCAAAATTGTTACACCCTACCAAAGATAGTTTTTATCTACCCATTCTTAAACATTTTCTTAATTAAAAAGTTGTTTCTCCATCGAACAATTTCCCTTGGGATGTAAAAATTGTACCAAACTTTAAATACTAGATATGATACTTGTGTAAATAATTCTAATCTGTTCTAGTTTCTATAGCCAAAAAAAAAGATTAAATATAAAGAAAACAGAAAGGCCAAATAAAAAAAAATGTTAAAAAACAAAGAATATTTAATGAAAGAACAAAAATTCAACCAAAGAAATAAATGTCCTTTTTGATCTTGGTGTACTAGAAATTCTTAAATATTGACTTTTCTGCATATCAATATGCACATTGCATCGTTATGAATATCGTGACGATAATCTGAAGTTTTCTTACATACTCTGCCAGGCCAGGAGTCCTGAAAATAATCATAAACATAAAACAAACCATTGCTGGCTCAGTCTCGGGCGTAATTTTTTAAAAATATATTAATAAATTGTGGGTATAGGGGGAACAGATTAATTCACCCATAGAGGGTCGTCTTCCACTCCATTACGCCAGTGATTACGGTCAGCTTGAAGTCCTGAAATATCTCTGCGAGAAGGTAAAATATTAATCAATAATTCATACTTAATAACATCGAATCAATTATGACTGAATTCTGAAAATTGCGTTAAAAATAAACGTTTTATAATTTATTTGATATGCTGAACTATACCTTACCATGTCCGGGAATATTTGATATGCTGAACTATACCTTACCATGTCCGGGAATATTTGATATGCTGAACTATACCTTACCATGTCCGGGAATATTTTTAACACTATTTTACTGATAATTATATTTAGAAATCAATAAATTTTACTTAGAAATCGAAAACTTTTATTGAAAAATAGATTCGATAACAATTTATACCTATCAATTGAATTTATATCAAAATATTTAGTTTAAAATAAAGTTTGATAGTGTATAATTATTTCCCAGGGTGCTGATGTGAATGCTGCAGATAAGCACGGTATAACTCCGATACTTGCAGCAATATGGGAGGGTCATGTGGCCTGCGTCCGTTTTCTTCTGGACAAGGTAAGAGTGTTCTTTACAAACAAAAATTGGTTTAATTTCAAGTTCCCACCTCTCTCCCTCTCCCAAATTATTTTTATATGAATTTTAATCATCATAAAATGAGGGGTGTAAACTGTATAATGTATATTTTCTTGAAAATTCACCCCCCCCCCCCTTGAAAATCTTTTTTTTTCACAGAAGGTAGATGTAATGGTCTTATTCACTGATTTGGGAAAATAAATGAAATTATATCATCAAAATATATCATCAAAATATAGTAAATATATACCCCTGTAATCCTTTAAGAAAAATGTGCAGGAAATAATGTTTGGATATAAAATTATTAAAGCTCCATTGTTGTTTATTTTTCATAAATTAATACGTCATTGAGAATATTTTTTCCGTTCCAAACTTTTTATGTAATTTTGTCAATCAATAATTGTAGGGTGCAGACAAGACTGGAAAATGTCCCGATGGAACCAGTTATCTTGAAGCTGCAGAAAAGGACGAAATTAAGGAATTGAAAGAAAATTTATTTAAAAATCAAAATATTTTTTACGTTTACTTTTGCCGAATGAAAAAAATAAACCAACTATTTTTCTGAGCTTTTTTATAATCTTTTTATTTTGGCATTTCGCAATATTCAGAGATATTCCCTCATCTCAACCATTCTTTATTTTTATTTTTTTGTAGATCTGTTATTACGTTGTTATTAATTTTCTTTTCATTGATTAGGCCATTCTTAAGTGAAATTCAGGCTGTACCAGCTTTAAATATAATGCATAGAAAAATTTTATGATTAGAATAAATGTATTTAATAAGTATTTGCTTTCTTCCAAAAATATTAACCAAGTAATCCAATTCTTCCTTAACATAACTTAATTGTATATTTGATAGTAATTATAAATAGTTTATTCTTAGCAGATTTCAAACTGAACTCTTTGCATAATAAAATACTTTTAGTTACTTTTTAATAACTTTTTGATCAAATGTGATAAATACCCTTTGCTTGTTACAAGCTTATTTCTTCAGAATATCACGAATCCGTTTAACGTAGGGATTTTCAAATATAATCCCAAATCTCCTGGTAATGAATACCTTACTAAATTTCAGACAGAATGCCTTCGATGCGTCCTGTACGAAGGTTAGGAGGACCGAGTCCAGAAACCAAACAGGATGGAAAACCTTTAGCGCCAATATTTTCGATGGCGGCACAAGGTGCGAGCAGTAAAAAAAGAGCCCAAGAAATGGAGGAAGAAAAGGCCGAAAAAACTAATACCGACAACTGTGACAAGGTTGAAACTGATAATATATCCGAAAGTACCCTGTCTACCCCTGCTCCAAGAAAATACAAAAAGAAAGATAAAAAAGAAGTTTCATATCCGTGCAAATTTTGTGAGAAAATATTTCCCAAGTTGTGGGCCCGCACATCGCATATGAAGATCCATAATGAGAAGGAAACTGAATGTCTGATCTGCAACATGAAGTTCATCAATGAAATAAGACTGAAAATGCATATGAGAAGTCATCTCGGAATCAGGGTAGGTTCATTTTTTACAGATCACTAAACTTCTGACTTTCGCTCGCCTTTATTGTGGTAACAAATTCAGTGCGTTTAAAATTTAAATGCCCCTCGTTAAGTCGCCATATTTTCTTCAGACTTTATAAAACAAATTTTCCCGAACATTGGTGTTAAAATTGATGGATTTAAAAAAACAACATTTTTCTAGACATAATTTTTTATTTATTTTAACCTGACATAAACCTTCGGCCTGGGGTCATGTAAGTTCAGCCTTTTTTGCATTTTTTAGACAACTGACAAATATTTATAATTATTTTTAGATTCATTTGAATTCAATTTAGAAATTTAAATGCGACATTTGTGGAAATTTGTATGGAACATCTTCACATCTGGTGTCACATAAAAGAACACATACAAAAGAGAAACCCTTTCAGGTTTGCATAAGAATCTTTTTATATTGAATATTTTTATATTTGTTAACTATAGAGTAAGATTATCAGTTTCTAAAGTCAGATTGAAATTTAAGTTTTAGAATAATATGTTTTGATTTTCTGCCCTTGAGTAAGTGTTTATAAAAATAATCGGAATTATATTTGGAATTCTAAGCGATATCCTTCTGCATTATTATTTGAAAATATTAACAAGAAGTTTGTACACTTCTGTATTCCCTGACATATTCATGATTAACAATAATAAAGTCTTTGCATTAGTGTGATCTCTGTCCAAAAGCGTTCACAGTAAGCAACGCTTTAAGAGTGCACAAAAGAACTCATACCGGAGAGCGGCCCTACGGTTGCAAGATCTGTTTCAAAGCTTTCCCTGAAAGCAGTAAACTACGGTAGGGAATATTTTAATTTAGTCAGCGTAAATTGATATTCTACATGGAAAAGTTACCAGTCCATGTGCTAAAGCACAAAAATTTTCCCTTTGAAGGGGGAACGCCCCCCCCCCCCCCCGCCCTCTAGATGAAGTTCTATTGTTACAAAAAATGAAGTTGGGTCACAGTTCATATTTTCTTTAAAAAATGAAAAAGGTCACCCCTCCCCACCTCCACGCCCGTTTTAGGGGTAAGACGTTAAAAGGATAAAAATACTGGAGAGGAGTGTAAAAGCTCTTATTTGATATTGTCCATTAATACTAGTTTTGATTTAGCGTTCATCTAAGAACACACACCGGAGAGAAGCCATTTAAATGTGAAATCTGCAGTATGGAGTTCTCACAGAACGGGAATTTGAGAACTCACATGAACAAGCACACTGATCGTGAAACGGCCGAGAAGTTTACCTGTAATTACTGCGGGAAAGTGTTCACGCATAAACAGTATTTAAAGACACACATTAGATATCATGAAGGTACTTATTTTTATATAAAAAAAAATAAACAAGAACTAGAATTTTTCAACGAATTTGTAGTGTCTTCATTGAAAGAGTATCGCGAAATATTTTTTTTTTTTTTAATGCAGAGAAATCTTAAATATTACATTTTTATTTTGAAACTTATGATGTGTTATTAAGGTGATAAACGGCATGAATGTAATATTTGTAAAAAGAAGTTTGTTACAACTTTTGAGCTGGCCCAGCATATAGATTACCATTCAGGTAATTTTACTGTTTATATCCTGAAACTGGTTAAAAGAGAAATTTTTAATTGGATTTTATGATCATGTTTTTTCCTGTTCACCATCTGAATTTATTCTTGATAAGGTTAACATATAAAAATTATTCAGTCATGATAACTAACTAACTCATTTAGAATCATGGAGGGTGAGTATTGAGTAATTACTAGCAATAACACTCATGTATTTTTTGTGTGCATAAAAAAATTTAAATAAAAAAAATATAATGCACACCAAAAAAAAAATAACTTTCTAGAATATTTCTCGTCTTTTTTAATAAATCACAAAAAAACACTGTCCTGGTTTTTTTATCGGTTTTTCAACCCTGTCTTTGGATTTGATTTGATTTGACTCGGTTCATCTGTCAGAAATTATTTTAGGTGTAAAAAAATACAAATGTGAGATATGTGGTAAAGAGATGGCACAGAAGCAACATTTGAATAAGCACATGAAGCAGCATGAGAAGGGTTTAGGACAGTGCAATAAATGCTTCAGATTTTATTTTAAACACAATGAAGCAAGACACAGCTGCAGACCCAAGAAACCAAGTAAAGGAAAACGTGGAAAGGAGAAGTGCGCTGTAGCAACTAACTCGGCAATGGTCATTCTCATTGAAGAGGATGCCATAAAACAGGTAACAATTTAACAATCACAGTTTAAAGGGAGTGACCGGCAATTTATGGTAGTTGAACTGAGAATGTAGTATTGTGGAGACTTTTTTTAGGATTCATTTTAGACATATAAAACGTTTTAATGATCTATAATTACTGAGCTTTAGTGCAAAGTCAACGCTCAAAATCATCCATTTGGGTGGTTACGTTTTGAGAATCTATTTTTTTTTAAATTATGAAATAAAGACGACAAAAAATGTTACAAAAATCTACAGTAAACTAATTAGTTGTTAAGGAAGAGGTTGAGAAAATAAAAATTAACTCTTATCGTCGAAAATAAGTAGTCTTATTCAGTTATTAGTTTCCGTAATGTTTCATTGTTAACAGAAATTTTCTGTAGATTTTCTGAAATTTTTATTGAAAAGACGACATTTGAAGAATTTGAAGAAACCTGCGAACAAATTCGTAAAGAATAAGAAATTCAATATAATGAAAAGAAATAATTTATTCTAACAGTGATTTATTGACAAATTTCTATTGAGAAATATGTTCCTAAACATTGATAGATTTTTCGTCGTCGTTATTCAATTATTTTTTTTTTAATCGATGCTCGAAACATAACCATGCCCAAATGAATGATTTTGAACGTCGACTTTGCGCTCAAACTCAGTAATTATACATCATTTAAACGTTTTATATGTCTCAAATAAATCCTAAAGTTTTTTTTCCGCAATACTACATTCTCAGTTCAACTACCATTCATTGCTGGTCACTCCCTTTAAAGTAACAGATAAATCGCCATTTTCTAACTCCCTAAGATTTCAATTCTTTTTGTCACGATAATTTTCAAATAAATCTTAAAACAGAAACTGTAAGAGAACTTGATTTGATATTAACAAAAATATGCTTGATGACAGGTCTGAACTATTTTTTAAATACGCAAACTCACATAATTTATGATTTTACCTTTTAAAAAGTTTTTTTGTAAAATATTTGTATTTTATAAATAGCAGAAGCACCCGGCATTACCCTGACCATAAGTCATTATTTTATGCTGTTTCACGTGCCTATTAGACTTGTTTTTAATTTGTATTTTCACCCTGTAGAAACAACCTCCAGTATCAACAGAGCCGTCTTCAGGGTGGGGGGGCTATGGGGGCTAAGTCCCCCCCTGGACCAGTGAAATCTATTGATTTCAGGGGGTTTTCAGGCCCCAACATGTGATGAGCCCCCCACCCCCCGGAAAGAAAAAAAATTAAGTTCCCCCCTGGACAATTTCCTGAAACGCCCCTGAGTGTCAACTATTTATTTGAGGAATTACTTACCCTTTGTTACCCAAGACTATGAGGTGTTATAACATTTCTTATTTTAGTTCCGAATTGGTCGGGTAAAGGTAACATACATTTACAAACACAAATACACATATATAACTCGTCGCTCTGCTTTAAAAATAAGACATAGTTATATAAATTGTAAATTCAGGAGGTGGATAATGAAATAGATTGCCTGTTAGCAGAGTCCAATCCTAAACTTCAGATCAATGCCGAAGTAAAACAAGAGGACCAAAGTAAGATTTTACATTTGTTATCGTCATCTTGGTGCTTTCATTGGATGCCATAAAATGGTGAATTTTTTCTTGAAAAATCATCCTTCGTTAGACGTTAAGTATGTTTTTCAGGGTTATTCGCTGAATTTCTAACAGATCCAGAAAATGGCGTGCTCCGACAAGGTGTGAAGGAAAGAAAAACGCGGGAAACTGCAGCAAGAGAAGGAGATTATCAGCAGCTTGTTATACAACAGGAGATCACTGATCAAAGTAAGTTATTATTGGGGCTCCAAATTTGTGTGTTTGGCTCACTTAGCAAATTTTAGTCATCACATATTAATAATTTCTTTCAGTCCATTCCAAGGAAACATTTTATTTATTTTTTATTTTAAAGGGACTGTAAAGGACCTATAAGAATTCAATCTGATGTTCATGTCTCGAGAAATTGATATAAAACTGTTAAAAAATTATACCAAAACGTATATATGTAAGATTTTGTATAAGATTCGAAGTATTAAACAGATCATATTCAATAAATACGCAACCAATCTAAAAACGACGATATCCCAGAGAAGCAGTTGAGAAACTCAAGTTCGCTCCTATTATTATTTGAATATAATAATTTTTCATTTCACAACTGTAAACTTAAAAGCTTTGACTTGTTAAGTATTATTTATATATCAATGTCTATAATTCGGGCATCCGCATCCGCATATTTGCATAATTGACTTAACATTACGCTCCAGTCCCTTGTAAGAAAACAATTAATTCACAATAAAAACTTTATATATTTAGAAATAAAACTTCTAACAGGTTTTATTGGGGGAAAAGACGTGCATTCTAAACATGTGATGAAATTTTTAAATTCGATTTTCTTAGAGAAGGTTTGAGGTGCGCTTTTTAATGAAGCTTTATGATAAAAATTTTAGAGGCTGTTTGACAGTTTTAATACCCAAAGATAATCTTTTCTTTCAGTTTGTAGCGAGGACTGAAGAAATCCTTTGGTAAAGAGATGATCAGCTGAAAAATCAATTTATCCTGTTATCAATATCTGCCTGAAATCAGTATCAGCCTGAAGTCTGAAATCGAAATAAGCTGGTTAATCAATTATGCCTGAAATCAATATTAGCTGATGAATTGATCCAAGTCTGATACCAAGATCAGCCTATTAATCGATTATGACTGAAATCAATATTAGCCGATAAATTGATCCAAATCTGATATCAAGATTAGCCGATTAATCGATTACGTCTGAAATCAACATTAGCCGATCAATTGATCAAGTCTAATATCAAAATTATACAATCAACTTATTGTCTGATATCAAGATCACCTAATTAATCGATTACGCATGAAATCAATTTTAACTGATTAATTGATCAAGTCTGATATTAAGATTAGCCGTTTGATCGATTACGCCTTAAATCAATGTTAGCCGATCAATTGATCAAGTCTATTATCAAAATTATACGATTAACTTATGCCTGAAATCAAGATCAGCCGATTAATCGATTATGCCTAAATTCAATATCAGCTGATTAATAGATTACGTCTGATATCTAAATCAGCCGATTAATCCATTATGCCTAAAATCAATATGTCGATTATGTCTGAATTCAATATTAGCCGATTAAATGGCCAAGTCTGTTATCAAGATCGGTCAATGTCTTGCGGAAACGTTTTCCACTCGGCATAATTATTAAAAAAGGTTATCTACTTTTCTACTGTATGAGTATGGTCAAAATATCGTGCCTTCAACCATAAAAGTTTTGTCATAATAACGTGCCTTCAACCTTAAAAGCTGTGAATTGAAAACTGCATTTAATAATATGATTCTTTTATATCGGTATTTTAATGAAAACTGAATTATTATGAAAGTACAACATTTCCATGTGTATATAATTTTGAGTATTTTAATTGGAACTTGTTCATTATTCAAATCCATTCAATATAATGTTTCTATGCTTTTTTACAATATTTCTAATTTGTTGATTTTATACTAGGTCTGATTTGTTTATAACGGCCAAAACCCTTTTCATTAGTAAAATTTTTCGAATATGTATGTTAATGGAGCATTATATTTTATTCTGGTGGGGTGGGGTGGAGAGTGTGTGACTCCAGTTCTCGTTAGATCACTGAAGTTAACCACACTTGTCCACAGCCAGTAACTGGATTGGTGTCAAGACTGGTGTTTACGGGTTCGATTCCCGTACTCCACACAAACCTGTGGTTTCAAAAACAACTGAAGCCAACATCTGGTTAAGCAGTTATGACCACCTGATGGATGTAGGAGGACAGGGGGGCGACTGTCAACAACTCTAGCAGCGAAAGGGTGCGTTCTTTCTATTCAACAAGAAAGAAACTATTAGTGGATTGATCCAAGTGAATGATGATGAAGAGAGAAAAGGTGGACAAGCAGGGATCGAGTCTATGGTTGCTAGCTATAGGTAACTGGTGGTATCTAATCCTTCTGTATGGCACCCGGGCCTCATTCCAGTATATCATAAGAATACCTGCACTACTCTTCTCAGGCCTAAGAATCTTCTCAACCCTCTTCTCAGTATGAATGAATTGCGGATGGATAAATGTGCTGCCATATTACAACTCCTGGTAGATGAATATAAACCCATATCAACACCAAATTTTCGCAAAAGAAAATTTCCGAGATTTGATTGTTACAACTCGATCATGTCCTGGGGATAAAAAATCTCTTTTAAAAAAGATTTTTTCTCTTCAATAAAAATGCTCTTAAATTAATAACTTTTTTTGTGAATACTAAGTAACCCTTCTCGTAAAACGTCTAAATGGCATTATTTTTTAAGTTAATGGTAAGGTTGAAAGGAAAAAAAGAAAAAAGATCAAAGTTCAGCCAAGATTTTTATTTTTTAACTTTCATCATCATTTGAAAATTGCTAATTTCTAATTACTAATTACTAATTGCCAACTCTTAAATACTTGTGCCTCCAAAAGTTGTACTTTTATATAAATTTAGTAAGCGTTTAAACTTTGCGAAACATGTACATTGTTCATTGACGAATTTATAAATCTAAAGTATTTGTCCAATTTTTACATGTTCTTTTTTCATCTATACATAAATGCATTTAATTACATTATATGATGTATAAACGCTTTTTGAAATGATTTTTTTAAAATCTATTAAATCTTGTACAATTTACAAATATATTTATTTTAGAATTTTTTTAACTCTTAGTAATCTAAATAACTTATCGTTAAAGCGTTTACTATTAATATCTGCTTTCTGTAGAAGCAATCTCTCTTATATTTTTTAAAGTTTGCATTTACTTTCACCGAGTTTCAATTCAGATCGATGTTCTTATAATGGGATAATCAAATATTTTTCATTAATTTTTAATTTTTAATGTTTAAAAAATAATGTTCCTAGACTGATTCCTGTATACGCTTCTTAAAATTAGACTATCAAAACATTTAAATGTGTATTTTCTAAAAGACCCTTCATTTGTGTTTGTATTAAAAATTTATACAATATACGGAACTACGTGAAGAGAAAGAGCTTGAATATGGTTGTTGACAGATAACAGCAACAACACCAGACAAATTTGAACAATAGGCCCGTCGGAATTCTGTTGGGGGATATTTATTCTCCCCGGACAATTCTTTCCTGGTTGGCCGCAAATACACATTACACGAGTAACCCCCATCTCAAGAAGATCGATAACAAAAGCGTTATTTCCTAAAAAATAACATAAATTATAGGTCATGGTTACTTGTACAATGTTATAATAAATATTAATAATAGAATATTTAACGAAATTCACTAATTCTTCATATGAAAATATTCTTGTTTAACTTTAATGATTTCACAATAAACGAAAGTGTTTTAGGCTCCGTCCCACGGAGAACAAAGAAATGGGAGCTGAAATTATTAGATTTGGGTGACTCCAGTAGGGGATTTTAAGTTGAAGACGACATTACACGGAGGTATTAAAGTTAATGGTTAACACTGGCCCCAGGCAGGGTTCGAGGATGTTGGGTTATCATACAAGAATCAAAGTATAACCATTAACAATATAAGAAACATGTACAGGGTGTCCCACATCATATTAGACCGAGAACGGGTCTAAATTACGATTTTCCGGACTAATTAGAAAATTTCATTAGAATGAATCATTTTGAAAAATAACATAAGGCTTATTTAAGAATTTTCTTGCGGAAAATGATAAGTTTTTTGAGTATTAAGGGTTTATTTTGGTGTTAAAGATTGGAGATAATCTAATATGATATGGGATGCTCTGTAGTTTGAATGATTGATAGTTACTAGATTGATCGATTGAAATAAACAGCGGTAATATTACAAGATACATTGATTAATACTGTGTTTAACAGGCAGATAATTGATGAGATTAGAACAATGGAGTAAAATGACTTCATGTTGTACATATTTCTTTAATTTGATTGCCAGGATAATATTTTTTTTGTAAAAATTAAGAATTAACAGCAAACTGAGAATGAACTGAGATCTCGATTATGAATTAAAATGAAAAGTTAAACTGCAAGGATTAATTAAAACAGAAAAGGTCATTAATGATACAATAAATAAACGCAAGTGATTATATCAAAGTCAATAATCTTCAATTTTAATGTTCTTTATTCAGTATATTTCTTTATATTAATTAAATTTTTTTTTTAGGGAAAATTTTAAGTAATTTGGATTAAAATGTTTTCCAGTTTGTTTTCTAAAAAAAGGAAAAAGAGGAAATTAAAATGTTTAAATAGTTGGTTCCTGCGATGAAGCTTGGAATGGTTCTATTGATTGATTGCGTTGAGCTCTGGGAGGAATTCATCCTGTGCAGGCTCCGGCCTGGAGCTTGGGGCTAGATTCCTTGCTTCTGTGGAGTCCGAGGTTAAGCTGGGTACCATTTCTTGAGGACACTGAGCTTCTAGGTTCATTAACGGGTACAGTTGGTTGAGGTGTCTGTCCACTACTATTTTACGACCACCTATTTCACGACAATAGCTGATAGTGGCGCCGTAGACGTCTCCGTTCTT